GAACTTTTTCTTAGAAAATATTTTGCTTACAAAAATATGCTGCTGGGTCCTGGCTATCAAACGCTGAAAACCGCAAGTCTCTATCTTGTTCCTATCAAGAGTTATTTAAAAATCATCTACCTGCCTTGACTTCTGGCGCCGACAGTAGTTTCACATTTTTGGTATCACCACTAGTATGGATCCAAACATTTTTGATATACCGGGCCCGGATATGCAAAATTTCATTGGGTGGGTCAGGGTCCAAAAATTCGTGGACACGACGAATTCTAGTGACCGATCTAGATTTTCTTTTAAAAAATAAATCTAAAATTCGTTTCTTTGTAACAATATCCAAAATGAAAATTCATACCGAAATCATTTCATGATCAATTATACTAATCAAATACAAGAAAATTTTCTAGATTAAGTTCAGGCTAATGAGAAATTTTATATATTTTCTTAAGTAACGTGATATTGATAGTTTACATTGTGAATGAAAATCGTGCCAGAAAGAAACGGAGAATTAATCATTATTGGTAATGCGATGCCTATTTAATTGTGTAACTGAATGCACAGTAAAACAATATGACTTGGTTACAGTTTTCTAAACAAGTAAAAATGTAAATATTTTTTCAAGCGTTTTACCTTCGTCTTAAAGTAGTTTCTTTTAAAACACTATATATATCAAAGAAGATTTTCTTTCATAATGTTCGTATAATATCGTTAATTGCACGATAGGAAGAAAAGCTTGGAGAAATATATCATTTCACATCTTTTTGTTGAACAAATAAAAGCTAAGAATGAAAATGGTTTTTGCCAAAACTATACGATGGTGATAAAATAAGTCATTTCCTGTACGGTATGAAATCAGTAATGAAAAGATTAATTCCAAATTGACACAGACCGATGTTCGAACATTTCGAGCTCACTTTGTGAAAAGATTCTTTCAAATCAGTCATATTGACTAGTTTATTCATTGAGAAAATGCAAAACTAAACAAAAATGTTAATACGCGTTTCTTTTCAAAAGATTCCATTTCTCAAAATGTTCTTCATTTTTTTCACAAGAAACTAAGCCACACTCGATGTGAACTATCTTTTCTCTCTTTCATCGATTAAATAAGAAATAACTTACATGACACTTCTTTATCACAATTTAATCTTTTATAATCCGAATCTAATAATCAACCTAATAATCCTCTATATTTAGTTTTTGATAAACTAATTAATAATCAACGAATTTCCTGTTTAATATTTTCATGGCGTTTCCTTTTTTCATTATGTAGCATTGTTTACTTTGCTTTTGTCTCCACAAACTAAGCAGATCAATATCGATTTCACATTTGTATAACTTATATATTTTATTCTTATCTTTTAATAAAACAAAGCATGAATAAATCGTAAATGAAATTATATAATACATATAAAGTACAAGAAAACAAAAATAGAAACTGTTTCTTCTTCAGGATTTCAATTAATAAGTACATAAATAAAAAAAAGAAGTTAAGTACAAGAAAATAAAAGTAATTTAACACAGTTTAAAAAAATAAACGCCAAGAAGAACAAAAGAAACAACAACAGCGAAAAGAAAAATATAAGAATGCATTAAATTCCAAGAATTTGATTTTGATAATGATGTTGTTGATGTACTTATCGATCTATTAAGACCAGGAACCGAAAATTTTAATAATGTTCCATCCTTAAATAAAAAAAAGTAGAATTTAAAGTTTTAGACATAAAATAAAGCTATATACGACGAAATTTCAATAAGAAACTTCTTAGATAGATGTAAACTCAATATGAATCAAATGATTTCTAAATGGAAATTTAAATTAAAGAGCTAATGAATTGAAATGAAATACCAAATACCATGTGGAAAGCGTACGAACAAGATGACACCCCAATCTCGAAAAACTTCTGTTGGTCCTTAAATCTAATCTCAATATTCTATTGGTATTCATCAATATCCAAAAGTATAACCGTCTGCCTTTCTCTGCTTCAATTCAATGTAATTAAACAAAAACTTTTGAGCAAATCTTTTGGTTCACTGATGTTCATGGACCTCGTCGACTACGAAGTGAATTTTAATAGCATAACATAGATGGCAATTCAAGACTGATTTTTTTTGAACCACTATGTGACATTGAAAATATTAACTCGAATAGTAAAGTTGTCTATTTGAATTCTTGTATCAAGAACATTATTACTGTATGTAAATCACAATCATGATTATTCGTCTGCATCAATATCATTAAAAATAAAGATAATAGCAGACATAGTTTTATCGTTTTCGATCGATAAAAATCAAGAAAGCAAAAAACATAAATGTCAGAGAGCATTGGTTTCTTCTTCTTAATGAATTAATCGACACGATTTTATTATCAAGAAAGAGATTTCAACAACTTTGTAGAAAGATTAGCAAGCTCATCATTTCTCAGAATCATCACTGAAGTAATATTTACTCGAATTGATATACGTTTCTTTCCATCACTATTGTCATTGTGGGAAATGAGTTTTCGTTGGATCGGTTTATATTGATTTTCACATTTAATCATCAGTGGATTATGATTGATTTCCTAAAATAAAAGGTAATAATATTCACTAGATTAGAGCATAGATTCTTACTGATGGAAAAGAAGTAGTCGGGAATGTTAACAATGGTTTAGACACAAATTGCATTGATTCTTCGTTATTCTCTTTTGTATTAATTTTATTTTCGATTAATGAACTTGCTTCATCTGATTGTGGCGTATGCTAAAATAAATTTGACAAATTAAATTTTTTTCTTTTACTTAATTTTACCCAAATAATGGTGTCGATACTATTACGAAGACTTGGTGATAATGGACGTTCATTTTGTGCCTCGTTTGTGAGTTTGTGTTCATCGGCTGACTCAACATTGTGTTCGCTTTGTTGTTGTTCATTCAATGGTACATGATGATCCTTAAACAAAACTTAACCATTAAAAAACAATTTTCAAATTCTTTCTTTTTCCTACAAAAAAGACATCATCTGGTGGTAAAGCATGTTGTTCATCAAGTGTATTTGTTGAATGATGTTGACGGGAAAAAGTTGTATTGCCTTCTATCATATAAAAGTTTTTACTTAATTAGATAAGAAGATTTATTTAATGAACACATACGTCGTCGTTCTCGTTTTTGTTGTCGCAACTAAATTTAACAGATTTTTAATTAAATTTAACAAATTTTTCTTCAATAGTTACTTTAACTGCCGAATAAACATAAGCTGGTTCACGACGTAAATCAATGGAAAATAAACGTTGATCACTACTGAGTAAATCAAGTAGTGATCGATAGCCTAATACACGATAAGGTATTTCGACATTATCGTGTCGTTGTCGATAATATCGAAAGAGTTCAGCCTGCGTTAAATAACCACGTTTACAACTTGTGATATATGAATGAAGTTCATTCATGGTTTCACAATAAACACGAGGATCAACAGGTATTAAATGAGCAAGTGGCGAAGAAGAAATAGACATTTTTATGGGAAGAGTACTTAATACCGACAAGAGATAGTTAAAATGTTTGGGAATGAACGAACGAAAAACGAGCCAATGTGTATAAGGTAAAAAATGGATTTTCAACTAAGTTTCCTCCGTCTTTCCGAATAAATTATGTCCTCATTGATGTTTCAAATGAAATTAATACGAAAAAAAACCTTTTCCTAAGGAACGATTTCAAACAGAAACTAAATATTGGCAAAATAAGTGAATAAATGCGCCATCTATTGGTAACACAATCATTAAATATATGGATCTGGGAGTTCAACGCTCTTGCTCAAATGTATCATTGAGTTTGGCAAGCTAATGAAGTAACCAGGATAGGATTAAGTTAGACTGAGTCCAATCTTCGCATAGAAAAGAAAAAGAATTATTTTTACAACAGTAAGACCAACGAAATATGGAACAGACAATCAGCTACTTACTATTTCATCTTAATGATCAAACTGGTTTTGCTCTCATTTACCATGTGCATTTATTTCGGATGGAATGAATCCTTTACTATTGAATCGAAAATTTTAATATGGGTGCTGTTCATGACGTGAAAGAACTGACATATTATAAATTTAAGATATTCACAATTCACGACTGCAATAGAATCTATATTTTGTATTTTCCTGTAATAATTCGATCGGGCTGTATTAGAAAAATATCTTTGAAAATAAAATAACGAAATGTCAATAAAATCCCAAAATACTATGGATCGAAAGATACAAAAAAAAGATATAATCTCAAGCTGTTTCTTGATCAAAAAAATCGTTCTAGATTTACTGTGTAAATACTTGAAGATTTGGGTGTGGGTATGAAAGTGAGTGCGTTGGAAGATGATTATCCATTAAGCGAAAATTTTTAGCTAGACTCAGATTCTTAAGAAAAATTGCTGATTCTTTTTATTGAATTAATATCTACAAATTGGCATCCTCTACAACATCAGTCTATCTTCATTTTTCTGTGACTATACGAATTTCATCTACTGCATTGAAGTGAATACTTTGTACATGAATTAATTCTTCACTAAAAATAGTGGAAGGTAACTAATTATTTATGTTTATCAAAACATTTGATTGATTGCTGTAGCATTGATGGAATTCGAGGTTTTCAAAATAATAAAATTAATTTGTTTGTATCACCAAACTATCTACAATATATGTGGCTGAATTTAGAATAATAAATATGACGGGTCTTTCTCTTAAAATGTAGAGCTAGTTTCTTTGCTCATAGTTACATTATGAACTTAGAGAAAAAATAGATTTATTGACTCTATAATAATGATTGATCTATTGGAGTATTCATGAATAATAATGACTATTATTATTAAGCTGCAATTTAGATATAAAAAGTTTTTTTTTAAATATAAAGTTCGTTTATTTATATTCACTTCCAAATACTTTGCCAATGATTTCCAATGCAAGAAAAAGAATTTAAAACGCCGAAGGATTGATTAAAAAACATATGTGTGATACATAGATAAAAACAAATAATAGATTTTTTAGAATATGTGTACTTTAGAATTGAAATGCAAGCCATTTCAAGTTGTCATGTCATTATGTAAATGGTCTGTTTTACGCTTAATTAATTTAAATTTAATCTTATCTTCACTATTTTTTACTGCGTCTGTTAATTCTTCCATAATTTCATTGGCAATTCGATCCATCGATTTATCATTCATTTCATTATCAGCAAACGAAATAATCAATCGAACAGAAGCTGCTGAACGATTATGTCGTAGAGATTTTTTATTATTGATTGATAAATATATTGAAGAGGCTGATGCCGGTGCTGGATGTTGTTTATTTGACAAAACGTTTTTAGTTTCACTTAATTTTCTATTTATAAAATCTTGTTTTTCATCATGCTCACTTTCACATGGATCGATTGCTGATATAACATGGTCAGGAAAAAATCTTTTACGATTATAAACACGTTGATAACGGTCTACAAGTATTGATACAAGTATTCCACTTGTTGCAACACCAAAATAAGCACATGTGCAAGCTAGAATTCGGCCAATTACTGTTGTAGGATACATATCCCCATATCTAATTTAGAAACAAAAAAAAATGTTTACAGGTTAATATAATCTATATCAAAATATTTTATTCTTTTATAAAAAAAAATAATGTTCTTTTATGATGCGTCTTCTTTAGCGAAGACTATTTTATTTGTGATATTATGAATTTCAAAGCTTATTACATTATTTTTCAAGATAAAATCGATTTCAGTTGTTGATCATCAAAATCACGAATGATTGACATATGTCAGTTCGTAGTACTATCAGAAACGCCGATATTACGTGAGATATATATTGCTCTCTGTTTCACGCAGGAAATAATATTTCAAGAAATGCGCCAAACATATGAAATATAAAATTAACTTTATCATCTAGTCCCTGGGAAATTTTAAAAGACATTATTCGTTGTCAAGTTTGTAGTTATTGATGCATCAATATTAGTGTCACACTTGTTGACATCTTAATGAAAACACAATGAGTAAGTTAATAATCAATTTTGAATACTACTTTGATGTGTTTCTATATGGAGACATCTGTACAGCATAAAATTTGTTTAGCATCAGCTAGTTTCTTTATGAATTTGTAGTTGCATTGATTATTCACTAGCAAAACAAAATATCATCACTCATGTACGCTATTTTAAACTAGATGATGTACACCATTTTGTAGAACTCAGTGAGTGTAACATCTGGTATTGATTGTTCATATCTCTATGACAGTTTGAAGCAAGTATTATATATCTCAATGTCTGAAAAATCATCAACAGACTGAAAGTCAAAGTCTTGAATTTCAAATGTATCACAAATTCAAATAACGTAGATCTCTTGATTTAATAGACTAAAATTAAATATAAAAGTCAAGAATATTGCTATTTTAAAACAGTTTATATAAAAAACTATGCAAGTTTCAAATCATTTCAAATTTCATCAGAAATAGTTCGTAATTTGGTTTTTAAACATTTATTCTATATAGAATGATACTATACTCGGAGAATTATTCATTTAATACTGGTGAAAGCAAAAATATGCTCCAATTAAGGTACGAATCACCTTTTTAATGCCATATCGAGAGTGTTTTATATATATATATATATATATATATCTTTATTTCTCGCAAGGCGTATAAAAAACATTTTAAAATACTATGTTGCAGTGACCTCAAGAACGGAGATTCATACACGACTTTTCTGATCATCTAATGAAAGTTTTACAATTGTACTAAAAAGAAATTTTCTGAATTTCATTTGAACAATCACCCGAATACAAATCATACTCTATACGCACAAGTTTTCAAAGATTGACTATTTTTTAAATGTTGAAATTATTAAAACGAAAATAGCTTGGTAGCACTCTCGTTACTAACATATTAAAACAGCTGTGAATACAGTTGATGATATACACTCAAGCATGTAAATAATTAAGCGAACAAATCTATATCATTCGTTATGAATCAGTTCATATGTCTTAGTAAAAGAGTTCTCGTAGTAATAAATTTTAGAATGGCTATCTCTATTTTAGTTTTGACAATTTTTTTCATTATACATGTAGGCATATATAAAAACTATAGGTGACTTTATCCGAAGTATGCAACGAGTTCTATGTAGCCTTCGGCTACCGCGGTGCATGAATCGCACTTTGAAACTATACAACCGATTGACAAGGTGTTGTCTATTTAAATAATTGTTCAAGCATTTCTTGAAATAAATAGTCACCCATGAAAGTGCTATAGACACCGATCAAGCTGTTGTGCTGAAAGATGTCTACGAACCACTGTTGTTATTTTTATTGGCTAACTTACTCAATTGTACATAGCTCTATTGTAAAGCAACTCTAAAATTCTTTTACTCGCTTTATTTTTTTATTTGTTTTAATCGATGAATTTAAAAGGATTTCAATCGCAATCGAAGCAAAACGCTTAGATTCAATATCTACTTAACGATGTAAAATAAAACGAAGCTATACTACTATCATTTCAATATTGTTTACAAATAAAATTCATATTTCTATAAATACTCACCCAACCGTTGTTATAGTTATTATACCCCAATAAGTTGCTTTTGGAATCGAATCAAACATTTGACCGTTACTACTTCCTTCTGCAAAATAAGTGCCAGTTCCAAATAGAAAAGCCAATAAAGCCAATATAATAATGAAAATAATAAAATCCACAAATGATTCTTTCAAGGTTGCGCTAAGAACGCGTAATGACTTCAATTGAGTAAAAATTAAATAAATTTTCATTAGACGTAAAAATCGTAATATTCGAAATGCACGTAAACCGGATATCAAACTTGCATCTACTTTCGATTTTTGATGGCTTAATTCAAGACCTAAGATTACAAAATAAGGAATGATAGCACTTAAATCAACCCAATTATATATCGATAAGGCGAATTTATAATAGGATGGTGCACTAAGTAAGCGTAAAATAAATTCAATGGTAAAATATGATACACATATTGTTTGAATTATAAAAAATGGCGACGAAAAATTTTCTGAACATAATGGGACATTAGTTGTGTTTAATGTCGCATTGCTTTTATTTTCACATACATTATATTCTTGATTATATTTTGGTAAGGTTTCAACAGCTAATGAAACACAGGATAAAACAGTTAATAGCATTGAATTAAAATGAAGAATTCGACCAAACCTTGAATGTTGAGGATATTCAAGATGAACCCAAATATAACGACGCCAAAACCAATTTGGTAATTGGATATATTTAGCAATGGAAACATTTTCTGACTTGCCAATTTCTGATATAGCTTGTGGGCCTAAATCAAAAAATGAAACTTCTTCCAAAAATGTATCTAAAGGAACATAATCTGGTCGACGAAGACGTCCATTTGATTGATAATAGTAAAGTATTGCTTCAAAACAAGCTCGATGACGATCAAAAAAATATTCATTTTCTTGTTCATTCCAATAATCCATTCGTTTTTGTTTATTACCCAATAATGTATTTGGATAATTTTCAAATATAGATAAATATGTTTGATAACGTTTACCACTAATATTTATTGTTATTCTATCATGTTCTTTGTCACCCTTCGTTTTTGTTGATGAGGAAGTATAATATTGTTTTTTAACTTGAATCAAACTATCACGAGCAGCGATTAAAAATTCGCTATAGAAAAAAAAACAGTATTTAGACGAAATTTGGAAAATATTTGAAAGCTTAAACCTTATCTTTTCTCGTCGATTCTTTATTGGGTTTGAAATGTCATTTTTTCCTTTATCTGGTTCAAGTTTTCGACTAAATTAAGTCAAAAATATTTTTATTTTTTGTGAATTTAAATTGAAACTAACCGAATAAATTTTTTTCGAAAACTCTTTTGTTCTAATGATGCTAATTGATCGTTCAAAGGATTCATTTTTATGGATGTATTCTTATTTATGAATCGAACGATGCAACATATTTGTTTTTATCATTTTGCAATATTATTTAGAAGGTAGACCGAAAAAGATAAAGAGAAAAGAAAAAGCCTTGTCCATCATATAATAAAAAACATGACTAAATATGCTCGTTAAATAGCACAAGTCATGTGCAAAGAAAAATAGAGAAACAATAAATCATATTTTAATGGTTGCTTGTGTTATCAGTCGATTTTTCATAGAGCACAATATTGATTATTTTCTATTCAAGAGAATATTTCGAAACGAGTAATAAGCAACTGGATGAGTCACCATTCCTTTACTCAATACATATTGCTTGTCTTCATATCAGATAGGCATAGGAATTCTTGTTGTTACTTCGTTTTATTTTTGTTCTCTGAAAATTATAATAAGATGATAAATATTTATTTTAAATTGAATTCAATTTAAATTCAAATAAATTGTTTCAATTATCAAATATATCTGAAATAAAACCGATGATATCATCTCAGACACATCTTCAATAACAGTAAACAACTGATTCATTAAGTAATGATTTACAGTAGGATTTTGTACAATAGATCTTAAAAATTCATATCTCAACAGGTTTTATTTAGAAACCCAAAACTGTTTATTTTTTCATTTTCTTCAATGTTACAACATCACGAACATATTTTAACTAGTTCTTCCCTTTCCTGGCTTTAGTTTTATTGTGAAAACGATGCATACTAAGAGTGATGGCAGAATCCTGTTACACTAGGTAACAAAATTTTTCACCAAATAAACTTACCAAGTATGCCATCTGAATTTCCCACATATTCGATATATTATCCAAGGGGGAGGGGACTCATTCGGACATTCCCAGCCATTCGAATGGCTCGGAATGAGTTTTCCCCGTCGGTATTACCCCTCGGATATCCACTTCGATACCCGAGGGGTAATACCTAAAAATGAATTTAATGAGCATTATGACGTTGAAATCTTGATATCAAATGTAACGGTATTATGATTGCTATGGGTTTCTTTTACTAAAGTCTTGCTATAAAACGAATATACTTCATAAAAAAGTCTTTATCACTATATGACACAGAGTCACAATATTAGAAATTGTAAAGAGTTCTAGAATACTAATGAAATTCTTTCGAAAAATGATCAGATATTAAAAATCGGTAAACCATTATAAAGATTATTTTTTATGTACTTATCGTTGTTGCAAACCATTTCATCAGATATAGTTATTACAGTAATTTCAGAATAAAAATCACAAAAAAATGTATTCGTAATCGTTCATTTGAACAAACTTCTATCAAAAATAATATTGACCAGCATCAAAGAAATATATTGATCTTCAATTATTGTTTATTGTAAAATGCTTATTGAAATGATTTGTATTTTATTAGTAGAATTAATGTCTTTTCAACGATTATTAATACAACAAAGCAAAAACAATTGTTGAAATACATGAACAAAAAGAGAAAAACAGTTAGTTTCCATAATTATAAGGCCGATTTCGTTTTGAAAATCGACTATATCCACCAGAACCTCGATAATTATTTGAATATTCACTGCGATTGTTAGTCCATCCGGTTTGATACGATGATGTAGGTGGTGGATCACTCATATTAGATGATGATGCAAAAAATGCACTATCATATTGTCTCTTATTACCGAACGATGATGATAAATTTCCTGGAGTAGATGGAAATATCGATTGATCAGGTGAGAAACTAAAAGCGCTTCCACTTGTACTAAACAAAAGAAAAAGATAAATAAATAGCCATCAGTGAATTTCTATTCTATATGTCTTTCTTACTTATTCTGTGGTCGATATTGTTGTTGGTATGAATTATGACTTCGATAATTATATCTATTAGATGGACGATTACGTCCACTATAAAACGAACTTTGACTATATCCTCTGTTTGACGGAAATAATTGATTTGGAGGATATTCAGTGGATGCCGGTGATTCACTAAGAACAGAACATTTCAGTTTTTAATCCATGCAATAAAAACGATAAAAGCTAAAATAAGATAATTTTGCTCACTTGAAATTTGCATTTACTGATTGTATATTATTATTGTCTTCATTGACTTTTTCACATAAAATATGTTCAAGTTGTTGATCAGATAACAGACGAATTAAATTGCATAACTGTTCAACTGATTGTGGGCGATTAATAATATCATTTGGCTCTTGTGTACATCGTATAATTAACGCTTCTACAGCTGGTCGAAGAGAGACAATTTTTGATGCTAAATCAACATTCATATTTAATAAAATCCTATATCAATTAAAAATAAAAATTTTATCAAAAAACTCTCAATGACAAACCAATTATCAAGGCAAATAAGATTCGACTCCACAACGTCAACTTGATCAGAAGCAAATAATAATAATTGAACTGGAGTTGACATTGACATTTGTTTAGCAGATACAGCTCGAGTTTTTATCTTGATTAAGACAAAAACAAACATTTCATTTTATTGTCATAAAATTTCAAATTTCACTTTACTTTTTCGGTAAAAACAAAAAATGGTGATGGAAATATTGGAATTTCTCGTCCACAATTAACTGAATTCTTGTGTATTAATGCTTCTTTACCTTCAGTTGTCAATAGTTTTCGTTTCGATATATGAAAGCAAACATTGGGATAAAGAGCATAACAAAGAAGTGATATCACCTTTAAATAAATAATATTAGAATTATATGAGAGAATTGTTCTTTTATACAATATCTAATTTGGATTCTGATTGTTCTACATCAAACCATTGAGATGATAAACATTCTTCAGGAAAACCAGACATTAACATTATATCGCGAAGTTGATTCTAAATAAAAATAAGTGTAACCTTAAAAATATTAATAAATCTAAATGATTTTACTCGTGCTTCATAGGTCATTCGCATCGTAGATAAATTAAGACATTTACGATCACAAAATTCCATTTCACCACGTTCACCATTGCGATGTCTTAAAAGCAAAAGTTTTTTCATTAATAGAAATATTTTTCGTTTTGTTCAAATAATACTTTTCTCTTTCATATTGTTGGAATGCATTAAGTAAAGCGACATGATCAGAAAAACGATTTCCAGCAAGATTTCGATGCATATGACGTAGATGTTTTCCATCATGTAGAAATGGTTCAGGAAAACTCGTTGCTGATGCTATTGTACAAGCGGCATCACCAACGCTAAAGAAAGTTTTTATTTTAATTAGCTCTACAATATTATATAGTCACTTTAAACTTGTTGTCAATGATGCCTTTAAGGTTTATTTACATAAGAAAAAAAACCAATCATTACTATTGACAAAAGAAATTTAAGAAAGAGAAATTTTTAGTAGTTTTCTTTTTTTTGACAACGATACGTATAAAATATGGCCATTTTTCGTGTTAGCTTCCTCTACGGTAAATGTCATCTGGTGACAATCGATGAAAATCCTGCTACATTAGAAGGTTTTCGAAAAACAATCGAAAATGTTCTTCCACCATGTCGAGAAATCGATGATTATTTGTATGTAGTTAGTGGCAAACCTCCTCATCAATTAAATCTCAATAATGAACAAGAATTTAATCAACATCGAACATTAATAACAAGTGGTTGTTACATATGGATAAAATTAAAATAGCTTACCAAAAGATACAACCTAATATAATCATTTTACCAAGTTTTGGTTCAATCGGTAATCGTGCTAAAATTTTGCCTAGTGGTGTTAATTCGTCATTTTCATCAATGGCTTGCATTTCTAAAATTTTGTCATATACATTTTCATTTTCATTTTAAATAAAACTAAAACAAAAATTCTTTTTTTCTCACGTTTAAGAGTAAATTCAGCTTCAGCAACAGCATCCATTGGTGGTTGTTCAATAGCTTTCGATAAAAATATTTTAATATCACCCAATTTCAATAACTTAATAGCTAATGCAAGCTCATGTAAAGGTGTACGAAATATTTCTGGTAATAAATAATTCTCTAAATGTTCATAACGCGCTTTAGAACATAAATAAAAACAACAACCAGCTCTTGTTCGACCAGCGCGGCCACGTCTTTGTGTTAGATTTGTTTTCGATGCCCAAACAGTAACATAATTTGTCATATTATTACGTGATGAAAATAACTTTTGTTTTACTTTACAACTATCAATAACATAAACAATATCATCAATTGTTACACTTGATTCAGCAATGTTTGTCGAAAGAATTATTTTTTTAACGCCTGATGGAACATGTTCAAATACTCGATGTTGTTCTTCACGAGGTAATTGAGAATGTAATGGAAGAAATCGAAATCCAGATGAACCTAATCAATGAAATGATTTTATTGATATACTGATGAAACAAAAAAGAAATTTTCTTTTCTGAACTTACTAAATCTCGGATGTTGTTGGAAATATTTAAGTAATGCTTGAATCAGATTCCATCCGGGTAAAAATATTAAAATAGCTCCATCATCACCCAAACTACATATATAACTTATTAACTCCTTAAATAAGGGATTTTTTATTATTGAATATATAGATTTTTCTCATTTAGCTTCTTACTTCAATCAATTCAAATGACAGAGACTTTTCACTTAATTGATTCATAGCGGTTGCAGTTTGCGGAGAATATTCTTGGCCACAAATTGAATTGTAATTAACGTCCTTCAAAGAAATATATTTTGAGTTCATTTTCATTACAAATATATTCGCTATTTTATCTATGAATCATAGAATCGAATATATATATATATATATATGAACTAATCATAAAAGTAGAATATAATAGAAAAAGATATTAGAAATTGCTTTAGTCTGTAGTCGATCAAAAAGGAAGAGAAAAAAATGTTTAGAGAATAGTGTGTCCGATGAAATTTTAGAATATATCTTATATTGTTCTTCAACATAGCTACTCAAAATAATTTAATCTAATTTTTGTTGTATGATTTATTGGTTAGCGTATGACTTGCTAAAATATTTCGTTTTAAAATATACGATGTACATGTTTTTAGCATTAGCA